GAGCTTTATATTTTTAAAAAGAAATAATTTTATTCTTTTTTTAAATATATTTGAACTATTGATCTATCCAATCAACATTGTATTACATTTTCACTGCATACATATGCTCATTCAACATCTTATTAGCTATTTGAAATAAACAATGTAACTTACTATCATCTTCCTTAATAATTACATCCTTATATTTAAAACAATTAATTCATTATGGATAAGACTTTCTCTGGAATATAGATAGATGACAACATGAGTTAAATGATTAATAATAAAAACTATATTAGAAAATATATATAATACCTGTTTTTTGTTTTTATTATTAACAATAGATGATTTTCCTATGCTAAAAGTCTTTAATGGATCATTTTTTCGTTTCTAAACAAAAATTTATTTATAGAAGAGTTCCATTGTAAATAAATGACATAAAGAAAGTTGTCATCATTATGATTATATCATTATTTTAACAACCTTAGGAATATATTTGGTTTTTTTTTTTGACTTTTTAGATTGTTGAAATGATTTTTGAAAAGGAATATTTCCCGAGACTTTAGAATCTGTATGCTCTGAATCAGTAACAGATGATGATGTTGGTGGTGGTGCAATTTTGGGCATAAGATATGGTGGAATGTGTTTCATATGTTGTTGAACTCGTGAATGATGAAATACAGTGTCATGACGAAGAACCTTTAAATCGTTCGGGTTATCTTCAAAATGTGCCTATGAAAGTTAAAGGGAAAAATCAAAAAGGGGGTTTTTTTTTCATAATTATAAAATTAAAATTTATATAAATATAAATATATATAAACCTTTAATTTTTCGGATTTTAATATTTCAGATTTAATATCTTTGAGTCGAGCTTCTTTAATCATAATTTTTGTTACTGCTCTCAATGCATCTTCTACACGATATCTAAATCCTTCAACTTGTTTTATATCAAAGGTATAAGGATTAATTTTTGCTCCAGATAGTGTTTGTTTTTTTTCTACTCGTCCATAAATTTCTTCATCATGTTTTGCTGCAGGATATGTAAAATTTTTGTTTTTCCCTACTAA